TGGCGCAGGGGCAGGTGGGGGAAGAGCCTCCAACTTCCTGGACCCAAACTGGCCTCCATTCTCCCATCTGACCTGACTTTGGCCTGTCTCTACTGCCTGCCTGTCTACACTGCCTGCCTGCCTGCCTTTAACTCTTGCTTGGCTGGAATGGCAGCCTCCCGGGGGTGTCTCGGGGGTCCTCCAGGTGAGGAGGTGCTCTGCCTCCCCAGGGATGAAGAAAGGCCCCGAGAAAGGGAACTCTGTGGTGTGGCTTCACCATTGCCTCCCTCAGCGCACAGCCAGAGGCCTGGCCACACAGTAGGTCCTCAGTCTGTGCTGTGGAAACCGAGCTGAGCATCCTGCTTTCCTCCGCAGTGCATCTGTCATTTTAGCAGAATTGTTTGGAGCCTCCCGCTCCGGCAGGAGGGAGCCCTGTGACGCACATACTGATCCAACACCGCCCTGAGGCTGGACCTTCTTCCCTTTTTCCCCCTATGGTGAAATACTGTTGTCATGAGATGTGGATGAATAAAAGCCTATCCACATTTCAGATTATTCCCTAAGGCTAAATTCCAAGTTTGGAAATTCCTGGATGAAAGAATATGAACGTACGCAAGGTCCTTGACTCAAAACAGAAGACCGTTTTCCAAAAAGGAGCCACTTTCATTCTGTAGCTGCATTTTTCACGTGGCAGTGACATGGTGATATAAAACGGTGCTCCCCAAGTGTCCTGCACCCCTCTAAGCTCTTGATTTATCTCATTTAATCCTCTTAACCTTATAAACAAAGCATGAATATTATCTCCATTTACAGATGGGGAAACAGAGGGACAGAAGTTGTCCTGGCCCAAGGACACCTAGCCAGAAGATTGCCAACCAGGATTCAAACTCAGACGGTCCTGAGATGGATGCCCGAGAGCCTCGTCCCCTTCCTTCTCCCTGATGCCTAGAGAATGCAGCTCTCTCTTCCCTTCAGGAACTCACAGGAGGCCGTATGTCCTCGTCCCTTTCCTGATCTGGATCTCCCCGGCCAGCGCCAGCCCTGGGCCTGCAGTCGGTTCCAGTTCTGCAGAAGCAGAGATGAGTGACCACTGCAGAACTCAGCTGGGTGTTTTGAGGGAGGGCCCTTAAGAGAGGGGTTGGGGGGCCGGGGAGGAGCTGAGCAGGGGCTTGGCCTCGAGTCCACCTGGCCTTGGCCTGACTGTGGCACATTCTCTGAATCACAGGGATTCCCCGGACTTTGATCAAGGGTCCACACTTGTACCTAGGGGGCCCATCACTGACTATGTGCTATCCCACAGATCAGCCCCCAGGGGAGGCGGCTCCCGGCAGCTCAGGACACTTCCCTGGACATGACTCCAACATGCAGAGAGGCCTGGAGCTGGGAGCACCGGCAGATCCAGGGGGCTGGCGGCACCTGCAGAGTGTGTGATGCCAACGGTGCTTCCCGGGTCCTGGGAATGAGACCATGAGCCCAGAGCCGCACTGGGCCCTGCAGACGTTCTCCTCTACCCCAGGTTGTGCCGCAGACTGGATGCTGCCAGTGTCCCCTGCCAGCGTCCCCTCCTGGCTCAGAGGGCACAGGAGTAGAACTGTGTGGGAGACAAGGAGTGTAAAGCCTGCTCTGGGGCTAGCCTCACCCTGGGGGGAAAGGCCACCGAGGAGGAGGAGGACCCGGGAGAAGACAAGGTCTCATCTCCCCAGGGCCCGTCCCAGCCCGTGCTCACCAACCGCTGTGTCATTCATGAATTAAAATTCCCCATAAAAGGGAAATGCACCGCATCTTGAGGAAGAGCTTCCTCCATGCAGATGGTCCCCCACTCATCACGGTCAACTTAAGGTTTCTCCAGTTTTCAGTGGTGAAAAGGAAACGGTCGGTAGAAACCATCCTTGGAAGTTTGAACGTGGACCCTCACCAGGGTGACGAATTGTCGCACGCGACCTGCCTGCAATGCTGGGCCTGCCGTCGGGAGAGAACCCCAGGAACTGCAGACCAATGGGGCTTTAAGACAATGTCCAATCCCTGGAGGAAAATGGGAGAAAGGGAGAGAATTCTAAAAACCCTGTCTTCCTGGATCACATCAGGGTTTTCCAAAGCTTGGGAAACGGAAGGGTGGTACACAAAATTATCGAAATGCCCCCAGTATTACGGAACACCCCGTCACATGGTGGAACCATCGCCCCCTTCTATTCCTTGTCAACCCTTCCAATCAATGCCAAGGAGACATCTCCACGGGGTGAGGGTGTCTCTGAGTCCTCTGTAACCCTTCCTGAGCTCTTTGAACTTAGAAAGCCCGAGCCTGGCCCAGAGCTTCCCTCCGCAAATGTGTCCACTGGAGAACCTAATTCCACTGCTAATACCTTGCACTCACTTTGTTCTTGTTGTAGTTACCCGTAAGCTTCTATTTTTCAATTGGCAATTCACTTCTCCGCTTTTTCATATTTATATAATGGTCAAAGACTTGCAAATCTGTATTTAATTGCATCTTAATCGCTTACCCATTTTTATGCACATTTCGCCATACAGTAATATGAACAAACCCAGGGAGTGAAAAATAAGCTCTCCAATGTTTTCTAAAACATTCTATTTATTTTTGCACTTAGTATTTGTTTCATCTTTGTGATATTGCTTTCTATTTATAGGACTGATAGAATGCTTCCTGTATAAAGTTTATTAATTTAATTTTTAAAATGAGTTGGCTTTGTATGAAGTAAAAAAATATAGAACATGAATATAAATAGGGGGAAAAAATCACATGGTTTGGGCAGGCTCGATTCTTTTGCCAATATTTGGCTTCCTGAGCTTAAACTCTTGGAAATGGGCTTTTCAGTGTTAACTGTTAAGGCTCCAAGACCATTGAACTGGCGGGGAAAGAGGTGACATCTTGGGATGTGCCTTCCCAGCCTCCACGCGAGTTTCCAGCACCTGGGACCAGCAGCCAGCCCTTGGGGGCCCCATCTTGGAGCGCTATTGAATAGAACAAGATGCGGTGTTTTTAAAAGGAGGCGGTGCCATGAGCATCCGTTTGAACGGGGACCAACTTGAATGTCTTTTTTTGTTTTCCGGAAACCATCATAGCAATCGCCACCGATGTCTTCTCCTTTTCCCCAGCAGGTCTCGGATATGGCCAAGGATGCATTCGAAACCGCTTGATCAGAATTAGCAATGTTAGTCACTGCGAATGGCCGCCCCAGGGAGCGAAAATAGAATGGGAAGGGGTATCCCCGCAGGCAGGGTCTGGGGGCAGAAGAGCCCATGCAACCACCCTGCTGGACACTCCTCCACGGCCCGGCCAGCCTGCAGGTGACCAGGGTGTGCTCTCCTGAGCAGCCCTGGGGTCGGGGTGAGTCGGCCACCCCGTGCAGCCCCGTGGGCCTGGCACTCCTCCGGGCTGTGGCCGCACCGTCCTGAACATCCACAGGCGTCCACCAGGAGCCCCGACGGGAACGCGCCTCTCGCCCAGCACCGCACACGGGGCCTTTGGATCCCAACACAGCGACCCTCCCCTGCTGAGAACTCTGCCCAGGGCTTCTCCTTGCTCTTGGACTCAAAACTCAACGCCTTGCTTAGCCCCACGGGCCGCGGGCACCGCGCTCCCCCGCTGCCGTCCCTCTCCTAGAACACTCCAGTTGCTCTCGCCAGGAAAAAAGAAAATGTTTTCACTGTGAAGCGCGTTCCTCCTCCTGCAGGCTCAGTGTAAAAGCCCGCGCCCCAGAGAGCCCCCTGGCTCCTCCCGCTGTGTCTCCTTCCCAGGACGACTCCTACTCATGGTGTTTGTGTGCAAAATGGTTTCGTCGCTGTTTTCCCTGGTGCCAACCCCCTCCTGTGAGAGTCTAGGCTCCGGCAGCCTTGCCTCCTATATCATCAAGTTCACAGCAACCGCTCCTGAAAGAGAGGGGCGCCCAGAGCCACCGGGCCCCTGGACGCTGCGTCTAGGTTGTCCCATCTGGAGCTTGGACCTGGCCGTCCATATCCACCACCTCCAACTTGGCCCTGGTCACCTCCTGTCCTCCCCTGGACTGGAGGACCTGCTCCCCACTCGCCCCTGCCCCCTCCCACCCACACATCGCCCAGCAGCCAGAGTGCTCTTTAAATTCATGGATCATGCTTAAAACCTTAGAACTCAACCCACTTAGGATAAAATCTAAGATCCTTACAGTGAGGGACGAGTCGCAGTGTGACTGCCCCCCCACTTCCTCCTTCTGCCTCACCTTGTACCCCATGTCCCTGACTCACGGCTTTTCATCCATCCCTAGGACAAGCTCATCTCTTTCCAGCCCCAGGACCTTGGTACATGATGCCCTCCTTTCGTGCTATCCATGACTGACTCCTTCCCACCCTCCGGGTGTCACCTCGGAGCTTCTTCACGAGACGGACCTCCCTGGCCACTCTTTCCAGAGCAGCTTCCCGTTCCCCTTGACTCTAGCACAGTGCTCTGTCCCCAAAGCACTCCTCGTCTTCCTGTGCTCATTCCCTGGCTTCTGTCTGTCTCCCGCACTAGACCACAGCTCCTCTGACTCGCCACTGTACTCGGCAGCACTTGCCCCACATTCCAGGAGATGGACAGTCCCCTCCTGCACTACAAGACGAGGCTCAGAGAGGCTGAGGAGGACACCCTGCCTACAGTGGAGCCAAGGTTCAAACTCGAGCCTCTTTGACCCCAAAGCCCAGGCCCTGCCCTGAGAGTCTTCTGAGAAAGGACCAGACCCTGTGCCTCTGGTCGGACCCAGGGCATCCTCAGCCGGGAAAGCGTCCACTTCCTGGGGTCTCTCTCTTGACATTTGCCAAGTCAAAAGTGCTGACGTGCCAGGCTCTGAGCTGGCTTCTGGGGACGTGGCCCTTGGCC